TGGCATCCAACCTAACAGCGATGGCCTCCTGCCCATTGGCGACGGCCTCCAACCTAATAGCGATGGCCTCCAACCTAGTAGCATTGACAAGCAACCAATGTGACATCAAATGGCAGAACGACTGCAACACACGTCCGAAAAGGGTTGGTTTGCTGCCCGAATCGCTCCTTCCGTGAAACACAAATCAAACACACAAGCGTCAAACACAAATCTCACAACACTGAATGTGGAACAAAAAAGACCAGCAACTCATTTGTATCAACTCCAACCACACTTCACATCCTTTCGTCTGAGAACTGGGTGTCACTAGGTGTCCCACCACACAGCGGCTGCGGAAGGTACCCCCAGTGAAGAGGAGGCACAAGGACCCCGGTGGAAGTGATGGTGACAAGCTGGACAGTGAAGTATTTGCTCCTTTCCAGTGCTGAACTGTGATGACAGCTGAAACCCTGCCTGAAAGCACTGGTTTAAAACTGGAGATCATCTTTCAAGTGTCCATAATGGACATGACATGTTCATCTTGGGCATATTGGCCAAAGAAGCCTCTAAATTTGTTCATTGCAAAAACCAAAGAAATGGGGTGGTGGGGATCAATAGCAGGTAGTAGGGTTGTTGACAATCACCGATCCGTGTCGCGTTGTCCTAGTTGTCGTGCCGCATTTTCTGTGGCTTCAACTTGCCGGAGTTCTCAGGAAACCAAGCTTCTTTTTACTAGAATGCCAGGAGCGCCTAGTAGCGATGCCAAGAGCCCCTAGTAGCTTCTTGCTCCTAGTATTCTCAGGAATTGATCAGAAACCTGGCCCAACCTTTTCATCGACCAAATCCCATCCTTGTGATGAGAAGCCGCCTGAATCCACCTCAAGGATTCTGCAATCCACCTGCCAACGGCGGACCTCCGTCCGATTCATCAACACGTCCCAGTAGCCCATCGCGTCCGACGTGTCAGACGGCGAGTTGGGTGGAATTCCCGATTTACGGGTGTTGTCTTGAACACGTGTGGTTCCACAACGCTCCGTGCCTGTACATTTGCATCTGGAATGCCTCAGTGAGGCAAAGAAGTCACTATAATGAAGAAGTTTGGGTCATTTACACGGGTACACTTCCTGAAACCTGGACACTTGCCGCCTAGATTGCAACCCCCGAAGGAACTCTGTCCTCTTGTTGACATGCAGAGCAGCGGGTCATCCGCCGAAAGGAGAGGATTCTTCAACGTCTGACAAGCCGAGCTCCTGGCCACCTTTTGAGGTGATCAGAAAACCTGAATCACCCATTTCACACATTGGGGCATTTGGGGCGGATGTTTTTGCTTGTTAAGCACTAGAATCTGCTGAAATCTCAGGCCAATACGAGGTCGTAGAACCTCCAGAATCTGCTGATTCCTTTGTCGTTGAAGCTCCTGGTTGACCAGTTTCAGGCGTTTTTCGTTCGCATTTGATGTGATGGTCCGAAATTGCATCAGACAAGTTTACCCCAAAAAGGGCATCAAACATGTCAAGCATCCCTGTGCATCAGTTCACTGGATGTGAACTGCCATGCTTCTGGTAAGCCGGGGAGGTCATCATGGTCTTTGATGGTCTCCAATTGTTTGTACCTCTCCTGATCCTTGAGGTCAGTGCTCAGCAATCCAAAGCAAATCTGGCACCTGGAACGTCAGAAGAAACATATCCAAGTCAAAGACTGCTGTGCTAGGTTCACAAACAGCTTCGTCAATATTCAGAACTAGCAGTAACGTGCAGCAACTATGTTGTTGCAAGAGTAAAATATCATCTATCCATCCTCCTCACAATAATCTACATTTCTTATATTTCTTTCACAAAGATTGGTAAAAGCACGTCTTCCATGTTTCTCGTCAGCATCTGCCAGCATCCACCTGCTCAGAGCCAGGAGCACAGGCAGAAAGTCCTGTACAAGGTCAGGACGCCAGTGGCTCTGATCTTCACTTTTGATCGCCACTGCTCAAGCATTTCAAACATCGATATTTTGCTAGGGAAGAGTCCAACAATGATCAGAAACTGCCAATCTTGTGCTGACGGCCACTTCTTTGAACCAACCCCAAGGCCACAACTGCAGTTCCTCGTGAATACGCGGAAGCCACACGGCTGCAATCCCCGGTTGGTCATCATCGAGGTCTCCCAACGACTTGGCTAAGGCTGTCGAGCGCGCCTGCCACGTCGTGGCCATCTTTAGATAGGTATTCAATAATATATCCATCTCTGAACTCTGAATACGTCTCATCATATAACTCTTTTTGGACTTCGCGCTTAAGTTGGAGGACATCGCTATTAGCTTGGATATGTTAAATCTTTTTGGTTGTACAGAACTCTTGTTGGACGAATTATGTCCCGGCACGATGGTTGTCCCTTGCCTGGAGTTCGGCGTAGGAGAGGGCAGTACGTTCCAAGGGCCTGATGAGCTGACAACGGAGACGGGGAAGGCTCCTCAAACATCTGAGTTGACCGTCTGAAAGTCAGTGATATGGAAAGGAACATGAAAGAACACATTGGGTTTGAGCGTACATACATTGGGTTTGAGCCCCACCCAAAAGTGGCCACACGATATGCATTTGTCTGATAATCCTTTTCGAAACAGCTCATCAGTTGGTGCTGTGCAAATTTGCTTCCTCAAAAACCTGACAGGTTCGACACCTGTGCAGCTGACGGACAACCTCTCTTATACCACCTAGAGAACCGCGGAACGCAAGCGCGTTCCGGGCGGTACCTTGCCGGAACGCATGCCACCACAGCAGGTGCGTCTGGGGTAAGGCGGGCCTCCCGTGATTCTGCGGCTCAAATTCACCAAACACAAATCGACCCAGCATGCGATACATGTTTCTCTTTAAACCTTCATCACATTGACATGTTCTCTCCTTGTGCAATGGCAAGACAACACTACAGGACATGCCTGCTCATCGAACAGGCCATGGAAGTACATGTGCTCAAGGTTTTTGTTCGTCGGGTGCTGTCAGTTTTGATGGTACATTCCACTCGTCATCCGCACTTTGGACTGCAGGGAGACATCAATGAAGAACAAAATATACTGTATATATATATATATTATATGTGTGTGTGTATATCATGTTTATATTACATATCATATCTATTTATGAACATTGTCAAAGGCTCCGCGCATGATTCATGCAATCCTTCAACATGTCTTGTCAAACCTGACACAATTTGAGTCAAAATGGCCCAGAGAGATCGACATCTATCCTCTCAGGCATCCTGCCCGATTACAGCCTGCAAAACACAGCCTCGATAGCCTTCTCGACACAAACTGAACCACCCCCACATGTAGGCGATTTGGTGAAGCGTTCAGAGCAACCCCTTGAAGAATCGTTCGAAACATGCATGTGTCCGTCAAGCAAAATGTTCAGAAACTAAACCCGCGGCTTCATGTTACTCGTGAGGACCAAAAGGATCCGCAGTTTCGTTCCAAGGTCAAGGACGATCGCCTTGCAGATCCTTGCACCATATTTGTCCTTGACGCTCAAATCAATGGACTACACGGTGAAACGGATGCGAAATCGCATCTCGCTAGTCGGACTTAATGTAATGCCTCAAACGATATAGAAGCACCTGGTGCGCAGAGCTACGAAGGCACTTTCGCAGCCAATTAATGCACACAAAAAAGGAACGCACCGGAAAGGAACATGAAAGGACATTGGAAAGCCTTATATAAGGCTCCCGCACGGCCAGTTTCATTTCCAATCGCCATAACACCCTGCTTTGAGAAGTCAAAAACTGAGGCCTGAGAGAAAAACCGCTTCGGATTCCGAATGGGCCCTGTGATTGCACGATACTGCAAGATACGTTCAGCGCTCTGAGGCATCGGCTCGATCCAATGGAGTTTTTTCAGTGGGCCAATTTTGGAAGACTGTGGCTGTGCCAGAATGCACCAGCCTCAGCCTCAAATAAGAATTTCCAACATCATAACGCCAAAGGCCTTTGGCGGCCCATCCACAAGCAGCGCACGCTTTGGACTTCATCCGCGAGCAAATGCCCAAAATCTGCCCATCAGGACTATACCTGCACTGGGGCGAATCAACCAAATGCTTCGCACGCATCGCATGCATGTACATCCACATCGTCATGTTTCAAGAGCTGCACCTGACGCAATCCACCCGGGTCGTTAAGTTCCCAATGCTGTGAATCGGACTCAGTGAGATTGCAGGGCAAAAGTTGGAGGCCAAAACGATCCGTTCAATGCCGATACTGAATATGACCGATGCACAAATCAAATCAAATCAACCCAACGTTTATTTTGGCATATGTTTGGCTTGTTTCTTTGCTCAAAAATCAACACCCTGCAGATCACGTTCTCACGCCCAAATCGACCCACTTGGACGCAGCGTTCGGCCACCGGGCCGGGGCTCCCCACGTCCCGGACAACTTTGGTCCGCTGAGATCCAGAAGGTCCACATTGCCGGTCCTCAGGGCGTCTGGAGCCATGGCGTCGGCGATGACGCACTGGTGCGGTGCGTCGTCCCAAAGGTCCAAAAAGTGACTGTTGTTTTTTTGGTTGCGCGGTCATAGGAGCACGTCATGGACAATGGAAGTCTCAGGTCTCATGGAGCTGGAGCTCACATGAGTCATTCCTTTTCCATCCTTTTCCACACCGGGCGTGCCGTCGCATCCCTGTCACGCTCCGAGCGGCGAGGTGCCAATGGCCAAGCTCTGCTGACTGGTTGCCATACACCGAATACCAGTGGCCCACGACTCCTGCAGTCCAAGACATTCCGACATCTCTTCGACTGACTTGGATCACCACACCCTGCAAGCTTCGCCACGATCCAAGCGCGGAAAACGATTGTGGCCACGCCGCACGAAAAACGTTGGTGCGAGATCTGGTGCGAGATTGCTCTGCGGGCGGACCTTGATCTTTTGCCGGCAGCGACCGGTACTGATGTCCCACTCGTAGATGTTGCACCTGGGAGTGGTCATCCCCCCGCCCGCGCGCGCGCTGGTAGAAGGAGGGAACTCAACGTCGCGGTGGCTTAGAAGAAGGCTCCGAGTCGGCCGAGTAGACGACATCCTTGGGATTACACAGCAATTGCCCAAGCTTCTGCTGGGGATGGTTAGATTCCAAAGCAATAGGGATGGCTAGAAAGAGTTGATGTAATGACTAATGACTATAGCAAATACTAGTAGGATGGAGTGGGATCTTGAAGTGATACTCTGAGATGGCAAGCCGCTGCTGATTGACGTTTCGACCATTGGTGTTCTTCGCTTTTGGATTTGTTAGAACCTCCATGCCATCTGCTCTGATATTGAGAAAGCCCTGATGTCGCATGGAACTTGGTTTCTTTTCATAGCTTTAAGTTGGAGAGAGAAACAGTGGCTTGAAAGAACACTTGGTCGATAGCTTTGTGAGGTGCAAAGAGAAGTGCGGCTCCAGGAGCACCCATTCGCAATGTCCTGCTCTGTCTCGTCACAGCGAAGACACAAGCACATTGGAAGCAAAGGACCTTCTGAAACGTTTGATTGATCAACTTAATAGTTAGTAGTATAGAAAGAAAGTGAAAGTTTCTAATGTATAGTGTTTAATAGAAAGTTGAACATGTTACAAGAAACTTGGACCCACATCAAGGACTCTCCCATATACATCCAGCATCCAGCCATCCTGATGTTGTGTTTGCTCTTGATATCGCAAATGTTGATGGCACCTCCATCCCCAAGCACACCATACCTGCCCAAACGATGAATTTTCAGTGTGGATTAACAAACAAGACTGACTCTGTTGACAACGAGGCACATCTGAGAGGTCTTCAAGCCACTCACCATGGATGGCGATGGACCTGAACATCTTGGAGGGTGGATTTGAAGCCCCTACGAGTATGGTGGTTTTATGTATCAACGAAATGGGAGATGATCTTGCTTTTCCTTTGCATAAGGCATGGAAGCCAAACACAAACAGAGGCATGGCCGCGTGGCAAACTGCGTAAGGACGCTTGAGGGCATGAGTGTTTCTATGGTCCCTTGTGTTTGCGAACTTTGGGTGCCAAACCAACGACAAGGCAGCGGTAGTTGCTGCGGTCCGAACTGACATTGCCTTAGTGACACTGGTATCGCTAATAAATAACAAGAAATACAGTAATCAGGTCCTTTCAGGCGAAGTCAATCGATTCATACCTATTCCATACCTATTCTGCGTCTTTTTTCAACTCTCTCTCTCTCTCTCAGAGTTTCGGGCGAACTTCAAACGCTTCTCCGCTGCTCACATCCAAGCCTAAGGGCTTGAAAACGCACTGCCTCCAAGGCACACAACACGTGGGCGAGAAACTGAGGCCGTGGCCCCACATCTGACTAGTGGTACTTGACATGAGGATCTGAAGCACGGAAAAAGGATAGTGCCTTTAATCAACTTTAATCAGTCTGGTGATCATTCAGTATGGCAGATTTTTCGCATAACCGTCTCTCAGCTTCTGTTCAGAAAGAAGCAAACCCGGCCTGATCACCGGTGGGCGTAAAGGTCGCACAGAGAATTGGAAACTGTTTGAAGAAGTACGACGCCACCTGCAAATTGAAACCCTTGAGTGGCCAGATTGATTGCAAAGCTCCTCCCAAAAGCTGTACAGAATTGGAGCGGATGATCCAGAGACCAGGTTTGGGGGAATTTCTTTTAAAAGCACGTCATGTCCTTTTTGGGACATTTCTTGTGACAACGTCAGCTTGTGGCCCTGCATATCTAAGTCATGCAAACACATATCAAGGTGAAACCCTACAGCTTTGTTTGTACAGCCATCCATGGACATCTGAGGCCTTCGGATTCTCATCGCCATCGACCGCAAAGAGTCGCAGCCTCGGAAACAGAAAGCAGTGTGTTACCCGGACCCATTCTCTCGTGGGGGATGGTTCAACAGTGAATCTCCAGTACAAAAACACACAGCGACCAGAAAGTTACCCCTCCAAGTTCTGAGTATCATCCCTGACGAGGACGCCGCCTTTGCAAGAGAGCGGAGTGCTGCGCGTCCGGATGCAGCATGCGGCATTCCCGGGGCCCCCCCACGTTTTATCGCGGCCGCCGGTGAGGAGCAATTCAGAGTTGGGGTGGAACTGCAAGGCCTGCCAAACCATCGGATCTCTGTTCTTCTTTTAACATGATCGCTTTAGAGCAGGAAGAGAAACACACTGTTTTCTTAATTGTTCTTACAAAGAAGGTAACACGAAGCCACAAGCCTCGATGGCCGAAGAACCTTTCCTCTGACCATTTGCCTGAAGCACACTATTTGCCTTCATCTGCCCGTATTGCCCGAAGCTTTCTAGCAACTAGAAGCTACTAGGTGGAGGTCATCGTTATTAGGTTGGAGGCCATCGCTACTAGCAACAATAAAGCTTTCTAGTACCTAGCTACCAGAGTAGCGACCAGATTTCCTGACATTCTGGTTGGTGGGAGATTGATCTGCCCAGTCTGGGACTGCTGCCAGCAGTGGTAGCTCTGGGAGTCGTTGGAGATCAATCCTAACTCAATCCGCGGGGCGACACATGTGGCGCCACACTTCGTCCAATCGTGCAGCGGAAGTTCAGATCCCGGCTGTGTTGGCTTAAGGCTCCCTGAGGCGAGGGAATACATCTCATACACCCCCCTCACTTCGAAAATCCCTTCTCCCGAGCCGAAAGGAAAACTGGCCGATCAATTCAACAGCCCTTCGATGTGATCTCGAATCCGCTTCATTTCCGTTTGAATGAAAGCCTCCTCTGGCCACCGCCGGCATGCTCGAGGCCTTGCAAACAAAGTGAGAGCATTCTCATAGATTCATCAGACTTACCAACGGTCGATAGATCAACGACGAGGTGGCCTTCCATAGACTTCCGACTTGTCCCAGCTGAGTAAGACACACTATGGTAGGCTTCAATTCAAGAGTGGATTCCACTCCAACTGGGCTCAGGGCAATCGCTTCGAACTCCTCCTCCTCCTCCTCTGAATCTGAAAGCTCCTCGCCACGAGCGAGAGGACATGTTTCTGGACTTCAACTCCCGATTCGCCGGTGCTTCGGTGAATGGATCGGAGATCGAAAACTACTTAGAAGATCTTGAAGCACCTACAACTCTCGACCTTTCTTCCACATCTGTTCTATCATTTTAGTAGGTCACATCTTGACAAGAGCTGCAGTGTCTCCACAGCACTCAGCTCCTTGGTCGGCTGCTTCTCCGTCCAACGCCTCAGCGGTCCCTCCGCCAGAAACGGATACCGAGCGGAGCGGGAGAAGACATGAGAAGACTCTACGGGGCGCGGACGCCACACCGTTGAGCTTGGTGAATTGCTGCCGTAGCAGCTGTTCATACCTGGGAAGATGGGGGTGAGTGGCGCTCGCGGGCTCTGGCTGAGCAGAGCGGTGAAGGTACTGGTTTTTCAGGTCTCTTTTCAGGAAAGATGTCACACTCACTGCTGGTTTTTGTCGGAGTAGAATGTGATCAAGACAGGACGATATGATGTAATTTGGATATGATTTGGAAGATGTCCCTCGAGATCTAAGCTTTAACCGACTTTGACCACTACCGTCTTGCAAGGTCAATCTTCACCCAAAAGACCTTGGTTTCGCGGTTTGCGGTTTTGACACGTTCATACTCGTTCACACCTCTCCCATCCTCTTTCTAACGCACAGAAACAAAACGCACCAGCTTAAACACTTCAATCATGCAAGCATGGTGGATGACAAGTGTGAGTCATCATGTGTCATCATCCAATTTGGCAGATCGTTGCAACCAACATCTCTCTCCTTCGCCCGGAGCTCCCGGCTCCTCGCCCGTCACATGGGTGGCTTTGTGACGCAGTCGCCCGCGCCGTCCGACCTGGATGGAGCCAGCGAGAGAGGTCCCGAAGACGCACGCGGGGAGGTCAAAGGGAACACCGAGAAGCACACAAGAGGCACTTCAAGATCCGCATCATCAGGATCAACCCAAGCCTCAGGTGTTTTTTGTTGAAAGAAAGATGTCAAAGACTTGGAAAAACAGAAAACAGTGGAGAACTGCTCAGTGGTGAATTCCTTCACTTTGCACAGACTTCAGGCCAGTAGCTGCTCTTCTGGCTCCTGTTTCAGGAGCTTCTTCCACGTCCTCCTTCGCCTCCTTCGCCTCCTTGGAGTTTTAGAAAACAATTGGTCAAAAAACTCCATGGTCATCTCTGGCACTCTCCAAACGGGACCTTCGCCTGCTCCGACTTCTCTTCACCTAGCTCAGCAGTGAACAACCAGTCCCAGCCTAGTCGTTTTGAGGGGCCTTGGAAGCTTGCACCCCCAAAGACGATGGCTTCCAATTCGGCGGTGCTTACCTGAGCATTTCGTCACTTCAAGGACCGAGACTCCATTTGCTATCTTGAAGTCGCTCATCCATCCGATTCCATAGTGTTGGACCAACTGCCATGGGCAATGTTCCCCCAAACACGCCTTGTCTTTGGCTTCTGAAGGCTCTGCCGCCTTCCTCTTCCGATTCTTGACCATAGGCTCGGTGGCATCCAAAACAAGTCACTCACAAAATGGTGCAATTGTCGCGGTGTTAACCATTAGGGAGTTCTCAAGGCTTGCCAATAGTTCAAAGTTCTGGAATGACTTAGGGATCTTGAAGACGCTTTGGTGCATTTGCTTGGGATTCCCTTGCTACAACGCACACAAGTGTCAGCCTGTGACGCCAATTTTTGACACACATGTATGCTACCTAACGCTGCATAACCCTCTTCAAGACAGGGTGAAAATGACTTTGCACACTATGTGTTTTTTTCCTGGAGTGAGGGTGTGTGTGTGTGTGTCTATACATTATATGGGTGTCTGTGTGTGTGGTGTGTCTGCATCAGCGGGTAACCTGATTCTTTGCACATTTGATTTGGAGACAGCTCATAGTCCAGTCATGTATCACGTACTCTGAACAACAGCAGGAGCCAGCGCATCATCTTTGAGTGAAAATCAAAGACTCTCACGCGACATCTGGATTGCATTTTCTGCGAAGCAATGGCTCATCTGTAGAAATCGAAGCCTTAGAGTTGCAGGTCGATCTGCATTGCTCTCTCAGAAATCTCGTCCCTGCTTGGCCCTCTTAGTTGAGAACCCATTTTGGGCATGTTCTCGGCCACAACTGCCGCATCCTGAAAACCCGTATTGGACGGACAAACCCGCAACGACGCAAGGGTGGTAGCCTTCAGGATGCTTCTTGGATGACTTCCAAAGGCAACTTCCCTCCAGAGAGGACCAAGCAAACTCAGGGCCGGTCATTTTGGATGTCGACCTCTGCATGGCACTGCCACATGTGAACCTTTTCTTCCAACACCCTCAAAATCCTCGGAATGGAAGGTCTTGTTCGGAGCAAAATGCTGACAAACCCAATTCAGAATTCCCTGTCGCCTGATAGCCTTGTGCTGCTCCTGTGACATGCGCTGCTTGTGCCTCGCTGATGACTGAAGGCTCTGGATCACCAAACAGGTCGGGTGTGCTTGAGGTCTACAGGTTTCTGGCTACACCCGTGTGCCACGGAAGGAATCCGAACTCGGCCTTGCATCAACAAAAGATGCCTGAATGCACACATGGCCTTCGGCTCATGGATGCTCATGGCTCAAAAGTCCCGGTTGACATACAAAGCCAACTACCAACCTATATAATAGTGATGGCCCCCAACCTAATAGCGATGGCTTCCTAAGCCTGTTTTCATCGGTTGCTCCGAAGTTGGTTGTTTTGAAGTTTGTCGCATGACTTCGCTCGCAAAGCCCCAAACTTGGAATGAGGATGACTGCTAGCTGCTAGCGCATGAGGCACTGACAGTGTCCCAATCCCGTGTGTTTTGCTCCAGCCATGCGCTTCGTTGGCATACCTGCGCAAGTGACAAGCACAACATCGCGCAACAAGCGTCACTGCATTCTGCAAATGGTGCCACTTGATGCAAGGCCCCAGTCGACAGAAGCGTCGCTCAAAGCGTCAGAAGCGTGGGCAACGTGGGCCTTCCAAACGGCCGTGGCGATGTCATCGTCATCCTCACTGACACGTCATCCGTACAAACTTTGTACCAAATCCATGGCAACATTGATGGATCTGGGCCATTCACACCCAGGAGTTTCTTCAGCACGGTGTCGTGGTAGTCTCGAGACTCCTGAATTGATGAGGTAGTGAAATTTGCAGCTGGCCTCACCACAAATCTACATATTGTCTAAATCTCTAATCTCCTGCTCCAATCGGCGAGAGTAGTACAATGGAAGACCTAATGTGCAATTGTACCTCACGACATGGGCCAAACAAACCGATTGCGACATATTCAGTAGCATAAGAATTCCCTCCCATGAAGCTGGCCAAGAAACTCATAAAGGCACTGAATTGTCGGTCCTTTCTTCCAACATCTCCACCAAAAAAAACACAGGCGCTTGACCCAGGTCCAGATTACAACAGTGCTTGCAATGACAAGGGCGCATGAACACAAGTGGCTGCTTACGATCCGCATGCCTCTCTAAGGAGGCCTCACACGGCACCATGAACATCGCAAGCCATCAGCAAGCAGGAGACATCTGCACTGAGTCTATCTATCAAGTGAAAAGCCCAAAACGATCAAACAAACAGTTTGATAGCTCACCTTTTTCTCACGCCTTTGCTCGCTTCCCCTTCGATTTGTCCCAGTCGAAGCCTTTGAACTCGGATCCTCTGCAAGTCACGCTGCTTGCGTTCCCCATGTGACATCCGCCGCGTCCTCACATCATCAGGCCGGAAGGCCACTCGCTGCACTTGCTTCAGCTGGCAAGTTCCATGTGATTTGCGGCTCTCCCCTGGATGACAAGAGCTCGTTCACCTTGTGAAAATGACCACAACCTTTGAAATATCGCTCATAGGACAAAGGAGATGGATGGCCTGCTGTCAGAACCACATGGCGTCCCTCATCAACAAGTCTGGCTTTGGCCTGTGCCTCCTTGCCCCAAAGAAGGAAGATCACATCTTCACGCTCTCGATTCACAGCTCGAATAGCAGCATCAGTCAGGCGTTCCCATCCCAAGCTCTTGTGGGACATCGGCTGTCCTTCTGCTACCGTGAGCACCGTGTTGAGCAAGAGAACTCCTTGCTGTGCCCAGCTTGTAAGGTCACCATGAAAAGCAGGCCATGCTCCGGCCTCCTTAAGCATGTTGGCAAGGCTTGGCGGAATCCCTATCCTGCTAGGAACTGAAAATGCCAGCCCATTGGCTTGTCCAAAGCCGTGGTAGGGGTCCTAAGACGGCGCAATTCGTTCAAAGCACGAGCTAGGACAATGTGGCTATAGCCACAAAAGACAAATAATTGAAGTGAAGAACACAAAGAGCGCAATAGCTGTAGCTCTGCGCATCTTTTTTGATCAGTTCGATTGTTAGGGAAGTTTGGCAAAGCTCTGCCGAGGAACCTGTCCCACGATCACGACGCGGACCATCGGCAAAGGTGTGGCCGTGAAGGCCTTGAAGACGCTGCCTGCCGCTGGCTTGTTGCCAGAAATCCACCGTGAAAGAGTTCAAGCATGGTTCAATGCAAGGCTGCAGTGAAGAAGGAGAGGTTCAGAGAAGACCGCAACAACATACCTCTTCTGTGAGGAAGAACATCTCATAAGACGTCACAAAGAATACCCTATCATCGCCCTGTCAGTTTTTCTTGACCTCCAAAGAGGGTAACCCCTTTCTCTAAACAATGCCAAAGTTGACAGCGCGGGCAACCCGGCCTGCTATTTCGCGACCAGCCGGCCGGCCGGCTGGCCATAGCGGCCGGCCGGCCGGCCGGCCAAGTAGTAGTAGTAGTAGTAG